GTTCATTTCTCCTATTGAATTCCAGTTTTAAAATCTTATGGTTGTGCAGTCAACCTGCCATCTCCATTACATCTTTCACATTATAAGGTACAGTTTATGTTGGCTGCATGCAGAAAAATTACTTCTAACCCCTGATCAAAAGATTTGCTGACTCTTTCAATAATAACTCTCCCAGGTTTTGGTTTTGTTTTTTTAGTGGGAAGTGTCTTGAGAGTTTATTGGAAGGAAGCATTGTTGAAAGTGTTTTATTTTCGGAGCTGATGTACCCTTGGTTGTACCAATGCCCATTTGCAGTAACAATGCTGGTAGGATCTGGAGCCACTTACAGTTTTATTTATGGTCTTGGTTTTTCAGTCACAATTAGAGTAACTTTTCCAAATGTTTGTGTTTGCAGACGCCATCCAAATAGGTCCTTAACTTGGAAAGCTTTGATGGTGTTTAGCTTCGCTTTACTGAACTACCTTAGTGGTCCATCTTATATTGGTGAGTGTTGTGGAAGCTATCTAGTGCATTAAATGCTATTGAATACTCACAAAGCCTGTGCCAAGGGAGAAAAAGGAAACAATTGTTCCCTGAAATTTTCAGCCTCTGATGAAAGGAACTTTTGACAGGCAGAGGTGTTCATTTCAAGAAGCGATTTCAAGTGAACTTTCTTCCTTTGTAAGATCTAGGATCAAAACAGTATTGAGAAGGACAAGGCTTTGAAAGAATAAAATTAGAGTTTGTAGATTAAGTCATCAAGATTTTAAAATAAGCAGCACTATTGTTTGTACAAGTACATGCACACACACAACACGGCAACTGAGATACAAGATAAGCTGATGGTTCCAAAAATACAGCATAAACAATGTGTTGGTAAGTGAAGTGATCATAAACTTACTTATTTGAACAACAAAATGGGCTTTCTTTAAAACAGTGTTTCAAAACAAAAGTACGTATATCTTCAAGATATGACTATTCCTCTAATACGTCAATAAGGCTCAGCTCTCATCGGTTTCACACATCCAGAAGTAAACCGTGCACCTAACAGATCAGAATAAAAATTCAGCATTGCAAAAACATTCTAACACTTTACAAGTATTGCAGACTATTACCTGCCTTTCCATAAACAAGGCAAAAGGACAGGATACTTCAGGTATTTTTTGGAATGTAAGAATGTTTTAAATTAGTATTTGACGCAAGGGGAGGAAAAACCAGGAGCAGCCAAATTGGCTAGAGTCCCTCCAGATCTTACCGTTTCTTATGAGAATGCTCTCAGCCTACCTTCCCAGAATGAAAGCCATTATTCTGTTGCCAATGTTTGTTTATTTGAAATAACAATAAATATAATACTAAGTAATACTCTTTGGCTGTATATTTGTAACTGTGGCTCAGTTAGCAATTCAGAAGTGGAATATTGTGTTTCCCCTCACTTTGTTTATCATTGCAATATGCTCCTACTCAGAACATCAGAGTCTAGGAGCAACTTTAGCAAAGAGTATTTTCTGATGACAAGAGGCCAAGACTGGTACAAACTCAAAGTCGCCCTGGGCTTTCTCTAACCGAGTGAGCCCATAAGAACTTCTAAACTCATGGACCGTGATGCACATCCTGGCTCCAAAATGAAGATTCAGGTGTGCATCAGCCCATCCCTCATGTTCCTCCTCTACCCTGGCACACAGACAGGGACCCAAGTGAGTGCTGACTGAGTCCACAGTTTGAGCAGAGAAAGAACTGTTACAACACTCATACACTCACTTTAGATATAGCTGTAAAGACCAGGGGACCAGACTCTAGACTGCCTGGTGCATCACAACTACTTGCTGACTACTCTGATGAATCCACCTCTCTTAAATTGTCCTGATGGCTATCATCAAGGTTATAGGAAGCTATATGCCCATCAGTCCCTGCAGATCTGCAGTCACAAGTTAGGCAATCAGGAGTCTCTTGGAGGTGTTATTTGTATGAAAATTAATGTCTTGCTAGTGGACTACCACAAAACTTCCAACATCTGACAATCATGCATTTACCTGAAATACAGACATGGGTGGCTGTTCTGAGTATTTCTGCCCCAGTGAAATGCAAAAATATTATTCCTGACAAAGTAGCTCTGTAAACTACTGAAAGTCTTCTCCGGAAGTTACATGTCATGGTTTACAACACTGAGAGTGTGTACTGGCAGAGAAGGGGGACTGAGTGAGCAGCTGCGTGGTGCTTAGTTGCCAGCTAGGGTTAAACCACAGCAAATACTTGCTCTGTGTCTGAAATCAGTGAGGACATAAAAGTTGAAACAGCACAGAAATCTGTTCAGACAGATGAGAATATGTATAAAGACAGACATTGACACCCTGCTCCCTCTCCAGCCATCGTGCAGTTTATCACTTAGAACCCAGAGCTGTTCAACACCCAGCCAAGGAATAAGACCTCTGATTCATGCAGTCTAAATTTATTATTGTGTCATCACTACGGTTCACCTTATAGCAGATTTACCACTGCAGTTAAGGAGACTGCGCCCCTAATATTTCCACCGCTTGGCAAGCAAGGTGCATATACTCGTGACAGTGAGATACCATCAGGGATGTGCTCACCCTCCTCATATCATCCTGCAGCTTTCATGAAACTCAGGTCCACAGTGAAACATGCTTTGTCTCCATGGCCTCTAGTTACTTGTGAAAATACCAGTCATTCTCTGTTATTCTTCTCACCACAAATAAAAACAAAATCTTTATCTGTTGTGCAGAAAAGAATGGTAATTCTCTGTCACCACACAGTGGCACAGCAGGTGATAAAAGTCATAGTTTCTTGGTCTTTCTACACAGCCTTGGGTTATTTATACAGATACTATCCGTGAATATTAAGAAAGGTATATGAAGGAAGGGGTTATGCAGTCTGCGAGCTGTAAGCAAAATGACAGAAGGAGTAAAGAATGATTTACTGCTATGGTATTTGTTGCTGTAATAGCATTGCTTTTTTGTTGTTGTTGTTTAAACAGGGAAGTATACAAAGAGTAGAAATAAACCTGCCTCATTCAAAGTTTAGTCTTGCCAGAAGATGAAAAAAATGTGCGTATGAGTGTAGCGTATGATGTGTGCTGTTTTCTTCCTCGGGTGTCTGTTCATTATCCAATTTATGGAAGCATTTCTAATGTTGGCTAGTATTCATGCAGGCTAGCCATCTCTGAAAGAAGAGTGCAGGCAGCAAAAAAAAAACCAGGAGAACCTAGAGTTCTTGACTAACAAAGCTAGCTACCCCTATCAACATGTTCAATCTTAATTCAGCCCAAAAGCATAACATCTCCAAAACCATTAACTTTTTGGCAGCAGGAAGCGAATCCACCAGGATTCACTTTTCTGGGCATGGCTCATAAAGATGCACACTACTACATGGTACAGAGATGAACAACACATACTCTGAATGGGTGAAAGAGGTAACAGAGGGACTTCGGACATCTCTCAGGTTACACCGAAGTCAAATACATCTGAATAAGTCTATGACATTTACTTTTTAAAGAGTTTGCGCAACTGCCCTTGGCCAGATTTTTCTTCCCTTTTGTGAGGCAGGCAACCACTCGCCTAATGATAGTTAGATTCAGCAGTGATTTATATATATCTGTTAAAAGACTTTGGCATCATTTGGGTCATGGAACATTTAAAGATGATAAAACAGTCACAATCAGTCTTATTTCACACTCGGACAAATTAAGTTTTGGTAGCATTTCCAGTTTACTTCCACACTGATATTTGGAACTTTTTTATGTGCAGAAGAAAGAATAGAACATTTAATCTCTTGTGAATGCTGCTTGCACGTTTGTGAAAGTGAGCTTGGAATTAAATCGCAATGTTAACCCGTTAACTATAATAGTACATATCACCTGACAGCCTAAGGGTGCGTCAAATGAGATGTTTAAAGAGATGAGAATCACTTGACTCCATCTGTCCCACACTTTCAAATGCCACACAAAACAAAATTCATGGAGCAAACTCATTCCTTCAAGGTTCCAGTTAGCAGCTTCGAATCTACAAATCATTTAAAAAAAAAAAATAGATAAGGAGCAAAACTTTTTCTCAAGAATTTCAGGTATGATCAGCTCAGCCATCCCCCACTGCCATGTGTCCTTGAGCTTTCTCTATCCCCCTTCACTCGAAAAGGAAAAAAAAAGGAAAAAAAAAAAGAAAAGAAAAATTAAAAAAAAAAAAAAGACAAGAAGAAACCACCTTTCAGTATTTTACAGAAATTTTATGAAAGACTTAGAGAAAAATAGGGTCTACTTCACTTTGCAACTGCCTGTAACTTTAGCATAATAAACTCCAAAGGGCAGAGCCTTCACCAAAACACTTAAAAACAGCTTGAAAGAGGTACTAGCTGTCCGTTATGTTTACTCAAGCACTTGTTTAAAAACACATTTAAGGAAAATGTTTTTATTTCTACAGATTGCATTAATTATAGCTTTGCAAACACTGCAAGCTCTACAAGAAGACTGAACCGAGCTATTAGCTGCAAACCTCAAGTCTTGGCTAGAGAAGTGCTTATGGCTTATTTAGCAAGCCTAATGAATTGGCTCACCCATCTCTAAGCAGAGTTCCATGTTTAGCACCACGGAGCCTGGAATAGCCAAAGAGGCTTGTTTCACTTCGCTTTATAATTAAAAATAAAGCCAAATCGGTCAACCCAAGACGGTCCAAAAGCAGACCTCACTGCAGCACTATTCCGCTTCGGGAAAATAAAAGCACTAACGCGGACATTAACATTGGCCCGAAGCTCTGCGGAGACCCACAGTAAACTTTCACTTAGCTGCCACGGGCCGTGTGCTCCCCGGGACAGACGCGCAGGGGCGGCGGTGCCAGCCGCAATCTGAGCCCCACGGTGCGGGACAAGCGGCGGCAGGGCTCCCCGCCGGGCTGCGGGCTCCGTCCTCTGCCTGTCTCCCGGCAGCCGAAGCGCACGCCGCCCGGAGAAACGCACCGGCCCGCTCAGGTGCGCCCCGGGGGAGCAGCGCCCGGCGGTGGGAGGGGGGGGCTTACCGTGAGGGCGGAGAGCTTCTGGGCCGGCACTGCGGGCAGCAGCTCCGGCAGCAGCAGCAGCAGCGGCACCCACATCCTGAGGCAGGGCCGGTGGGCACGAAGCCGCTCCGGGAAGCGGAGGAGGGGGACTCTCCTTGGGGTGTCGCTCCCCCTCCCCGACGCCTACTCTGGCTCCTTTTCAATCGCTCCGGCTGGGAGGTCCCAGCTTAGGTCTTCTATTTTCTTTTCCCCACCGCAGCCCTTGTAATTTGGGGACGGGTGTATAGCAGGGAGGCGGCAGTTTCTCCCTCTCTCCGTGTCCCTCCCTCGCTACTCAAGAGCCAGCCCCGGCTCCGAGATGCTCCCGAGACAGCCTCTCCCCTTTCGCCGTCTTGCCGAGCAGGCACTGCCAGGGGGATCCGCCGGACCCCGCCGCCTCCCTCGGGGCGCCGCGCCTCCCTCTGCCTCACACGGGCTGCTGCCTAGCCTTGGGAATCGCTGTCTTTCCCTTGCCGCTTCCTCTCCCCGGTGGCGGGAGTACGGGAGGAAAAGATTTGGAAGGGAAAGGAGAATCCTCTCACACTACCCCTCCAGCATCCGCGCCGGCGGGAGCCCGGAGAGGGCACTGCCGCAGCTGCGGAGGCTGGCGGTGTGCGACCTCACCGAGCCGCTCTTCCCCTTTTCCTCTTATCCTCCCCCCTCCCCAGCCCGGCCTCCGCTTTCTCCTCCCAGACCCACAGGTCCTCGACGATTAACCCTCCCCGGTGCTCCCGGGGGGGCGCCGGTTTGCTCCCCCCGCAGGGTTCATTCCTCCCACGTCTCCTGCTGAATCAACATGTGCAGATACTGACAGCCCCTGGCGCGGGGCGGAGGAGATGGGAGGCCCCCCTATGCACCCCGACACACTCTCGTTGAGCCCCGACCGTGGCACCGCCGCCCGCCCGCTGCGCCCAGCCGGTGCACCATCGGGGTAGGGAGAGGAGCAAGGACCAAGGCAGCCAGGTTTCTGGCGGGGCAAAACCCGAAGAACAGCGCCCTGAGGGGCAGGGCCAGCAGCAGGACATCGCAGTGGGCTGCCAGGTCTACTGGCTCGGCAGGAGGGCATTTGCCTGCCCCTGCCCGGAGCTGGGTGAACCGGAGAGATGCATGTCGCAGCAGGGCTGCCGCGATACGTGCAGTAAATGCTACCTTCCGACGGTTTTGCGCTTTTCCCACTTATCTTTCAGGAGCCAAATAGAGGTGGCTTATTATTTCCTTACTGAGAACTGCCAGAGGATTTCCTCCCCTCGGCTGCCTGAAAGAAACCCTTATACTGCAATTTTGTCAATGGAAGAGTTCCCCGTTCCTCCCTTGAGACCCGCGACTCGCTGCCAGCCCGCAGAGGTAGATCCCCACGGTTCAGCGGTGATACCAGGGAGTCCGAAGGTATCAGGACTTGATTTGCTCTCAAGGGGTATTCATCTGTGGGAGAGGACCGGGGTGTGAAAGCGCTTTAGGGAGGCTGCGAAGTGGCACGCTCCCAGCAAAGAGGGGACAGTTTCCCCAGGGGTCCAGATCCAACCTTGCAGGCTTGCCACAGCCCGGCAGTCACACGCCTCAGTCAGGGCCGAGTGCACTCTTTGGAGCAGCAGCTGCATGCATGGCGAAGCAAGGCATCTACTTCTCTAGTAGATATTAATTACAGGCAAACTCTGTGTGCCTTACGTGAGGCATCTAGTGCTGATTTTTCCAGATCCTAAGATGTTTGAGGCATACAGCCAACAAAATAGTCACAGCTTCAGATCTCCAGTGAGCACCCAGAGACATAAGAATTTGGAAAGCCCCCCCTTTCAAAAAGTTTGGTTTTGAACAACTCAATTATTTACACAAATTATGTGCCTGCATGTGTGTTTGCGTGGCCACTAATATCTCCTGAGCTTTTTAAATGGGAGAAAGAAAAGAAAGCTATGATGTCATTGCACAGCTCAGAGCATGTTTGAGACCCTTCACTGCATGACGCAGACCTCTTCCATCACTCTCAAACTAGCTGCGTCTCACACAGAGGTAACAAATTTCCACTTGCTGCAGTAGGCAGTGCAGGACATTTTGCCAGTGTGGGCTTCACAGCCCTTTTCTCTCAGCTGTGAGGTGGTGACACTTGGCAATGTTGATGTCTGTCAGAGACAGAAAGAGCTTTTTTTCTTGTGACCATGACCCCAGCCTCTTTCATACATCATGATTACTTTTCATATGCACTTAGTCCTGTTTTCCCCTTATCAAACCTGCCATTCCCATTGCCTTGTCCATTGAGTCAGTACCACCTCTCTTCCCAGTCCACTTCCATCTCCTGTCCCAGTCGGCTTCCCAGTTCAGGCTTAGGTGCCCTTCGTCACCAAGTAACCTATAGCTCTATGCCTACTTTCCCTTCTGCCACACTCTTTGTAGCTTGCTAGTCCCACAGCCCCTTCACCTTAAGCTCAGTGTTCTCCTGTGCACTGCCGGTGTGAAGCCGGCAAAGTGGATTCACAGCAAATAGTCACATTGTTCTCAGTCTGTAGGTCTGTCAGGACCTACTAAACAGCACAGCAGCTCAGATTTGACATTGCAGGAAAAAAATCCTTGCTCAGAATAGATGAGAAATCGAACAAAAACAAGCTGCAAGTTTTTGAGGGTTTAGAATTTAGTCAAATTTGAGTGGATTTCCACAGAGCTGGCAATAGTCAAGAGGCCAGAACTCTGCAAAAAGGGAATGCTAGAGTCCAGAACTAGTGGCATTATGGCTTTAAAATAAAGATGCCTTGCCAAAGTATACACTATTTGTCTACTGTCATTCCCCCAGCTTTTTTCTTAAAAGTCTTGACTGTACCGCTTAACATTTCTTCTTCCCTTTCTTTGCCCCTCATACCAGAAGATAATGCAGCCTAAACTAAAGTAAGCTTTTTAAAGGAAAATGTGAGACCAAATGATAAAAATCTGGCAAAGTTTAAGCAACTGAAAATAGTGGTTTATAATGTAAAAAGATAGAGTGATTTTAACAGGCAGAGCTTGTTGGTGGTAAGAAATTTGCCTCCAAGGACTTCTAGTCTAATTAGATAAGGAATATAAAAAAATAAATGTTTTTCCTCATTACGTCTGGGGAAGGACTATAAGGGAGTCACATCAGTGACTTCCTTACAGGAGTTAATATCCCATTTAAAAAGAGACAGATTTCCAGAGAGCCCACGGGTCCATTCACAATACATGGTGAGTGTCCCCTCTGCATAGATGGCACTGAAGGAAAATTTTGGGTTACATTACTTGCTGTAGCTCATCAATGGTGGGTGTATCCTGAGCACATCTCCCAGCTGCCATGGCCAGATGTGTTCTGGGTCATGTCAGGGTCAATTTTGACTTAGCTGCCACCACACACCAGGACCGTGTCCAGACTTGATCTGTGCTACATTAGGAATTGTTCCCAAGTTTCCTGAGGTCCTACACTTCTGCTGTCATTATGAGGCCCATGTTTTCTCCTCTTCCTCCAAGTCTTTGTAGAACTGTTGTAGAAAGCGACTTAGATTGCTCAAATGAGTGAGCTTCATGGAGAAATCCTGTACAGTTTAACAGCAGTGGATCCAAATATAAAGGAAATGTTTTGGTAGCATTACTAGGGCATGAATGCTTTCTTTTCATGCTTTCACTAATGTTAGAAAAAACAAAAGGGAATTATCTCTTTGCTATAGAATTGTGCAGGCTGCTTTAAAACCCTGTGAGCAGTTGACCATCCTGGCATTGCGTTCAACAAGATTGTTCCAATAAGGATCTTGAAAATTCTGTCAGAAAGGAAGAATTATCTGGTTCTTATCTATCAAGGCTACAAAAAAGGAATTCCCTTCGGTTTCAATGTAGTTCTGGAACGACAGGGGTGGACCACTACTTGGCTGGGGTATATAAGAGTTCAGGAGTCTGTTTCTTGTAGTGGGATCAGGTGTTGTCTGGCAGAGGATAATGGTGTTCTTAGAAAGAACTTCAGAAAGAGCTTCTTTCTCTCCTATGGATTTCTGGCAACCTCCTTCAAAGAATTACTGAGCAACCCTGTACTCTCACCTGCTTTTCAAGGTTGCTGTTTCTCACGCTGCAAATGCATTCTGCAGCTTGGCTTGCAGTATATGAAATGCTTAATTTTTAAAATTTGGAAAAATAATGGGAAATAATATTAAAGGTTATGCAAACAGTTCTTGCAATACTTAGAGAATATATGAGCGCTTACAGACATGCAAGCAAGTCGAGAGCAGTTATTTCTATGCTGTGTGGCTAAAGCCCATCTTTCTCTCCTATGTTTCTACATTACTGAGCATCATGAATTCCTGGTCAATGACAGAGACCAATTGAGCATGTAGCAAATAGTAATAAAACAGAAGTAGTTGTTTGTTGTTTTGTTTGTTGTTTTTTTTTCTTGTAAAACATTATCACTTAGCTTCTTATAAACAAAGACACTAAATCAAAGCCAAATGACGTCAATGGAGAGTCCCCCATTCTGTGAATATGAACATTCAAAGCTCACAAACAGCAAGAAGATGGAGTCCAAGAGATAAGTAGGAGTTTGTGGGACTTCTTAAGCAAAAATTTAAAAAATTATCCATTCATTTAATTTTTTTTTTAAGCAGGAAATGGTCTGTAAACGTCTTTAACAAGCACTTGTTTTAACACAACTATGAGTAAGCAGCTGATGATGACTGAGCTGTGCTCTGTGCCATGTGAAATGTGGGGTGAAATTTTAAAGTATTTATGGGAACAGCAGCTGAGATCCTATTTTCTGAGAGCTGCACATCCCTCGTTCCAAAACACCAAGGTCCACCCATTATTTTTCTTCAAAAATCAAGTCATCAAACCAGCCTTTTAGAAAGGGGACAGAATGTGGAAATCAAGTGAACATTGTGGAGGAGCAGGCCTGTGTGTGTCTAGTTGTCATTGGGAAAAACAGATAGTGTGGAAACACATCATCCTTCTGTTAGACTTTCCATTTTCAGCATGTTGCATTTTTCATTATTAGAACTTTTCATTATTAGATTAGTGTGTGGAGTTTTATCACACTTTAGTGAGTGGTCAGTGTGAGGAAGAGGACATAGTGCTTCAGGGCAACAACAGCAACTTGCTTTGCATCTTGCAGGGTGAGCGCAGTGCTAATACCTTTCCAATCTGCCAGAGACACGGTTCTGCTATACTCTCCCCATCACCCAGCTCCAGCAAACTCTACACTTCTCAGAAGGTTGCTTGTTGCAACACAGAGAAAAGCATTGCTGCTCACTCACTCACATTGCCCTAAATCACCCTCCTGGATTGCCACGACTCTGTGGCCACAGGCACTCCCCCTTCGTCCAAGTGCGGAGCTTAAGGATGGTGTGGTTGGGATAAGGACCAAACCCTGAAAAAACAGCTGGCTCCTGGAGTTAAAGGAGCACCTGGGGTGTCAAGAAGAATGTGAGTACTAGTAGAGGGAGGAAACAAAAAAAAAAAAAGAAGAAAAAAATATATCCTTTTGATAATGTTGTTCACAAACTCAATCTGCTGCTGATCATCTAGAAACATCCACAGCATTCTGCACAGTTCTCAGAGCCTTGGAAACAAACCATAATGTTGTCTGGAAACAAACCAGAAGGTGGAAGCCATGAAATAGCTTCAAAATCATTGGGCATAAAAGTAGAATGTGCTTATCTCATGTTATTACTT